ACGAAGGACGCCCGAAATACCAGGCGCCGTACGAAGGACGCCCAAAGTGCCGGGCGCCGTACGAAGGACGCCTAAAGTGCCGGGTGCTGTACAAAAGGCGCTCCTCAGAAAGGCCGCCCGCTCAGCTCGGCGCCCACGCCACACCCGGAGGGATAAATGCTCGACCACCCAAGTAGGCACGGATTGAACCTAGACTCCGTACAAACTCTCCTACACCAGCAGGTGCTGGGCGCCACGAACAAGGCCGTCCGCCGATCTCGATGCCTACGTCGACCGAAGGGGCGGAACCTCTGTTTGTAAGAAAAACTTTGAAGAACTCACTTGGAATTCCATCACCACAAGATAGACCCGCACTCTCTATACTCAGTGTTCTACAAGAAAATGCCGAGACGAAAACGTCTGGCACCAGGGAGAGCCGGACGACCTCGTAGAGGATCGTCCGCCCAATTTAGTGCCCGAGTCATCCATAGGTAAGGCGGACGCCCGTAGCGATTGGGCGGACGCCCGTTTCACCGGGGCGGACGCCCACATCATGATGACCGGCCCAACCACTGATCACTACGACCTAAGCAAATTAACCTGGTTTAGAGGTAAGTAAAAATTAGAAGCTATTGGGCTGATTGGGCCGTAATTAACTTTTCACTAATCCCAAGCCCATAGCGAAAACTATAAATACAGGTTCATGGTGAGTGGTAGATAGGTTACATTGAATGCACATTTATTGCTATCCTTGAGAAAAGCCATTGCTCTGAAACTGACTTTGGCATCGGAGAATCTTTTGCAGGTCTCTACCCCTCAGGATTGAGAGAAAGAACTGAGAATCAGGACAGAAGACCAGCTGCCAGGATAAGTGGACAGGAAGACGTGAAGGTTTAGAACTGCACGGCCCTACACATCCGAAACAGTAAGCATGAGTCAGAACCAGACACTAGCCACTACTCTTTCGAGCCATTCAATTATTTGGTATGGCACTTGAAATTATCCAAAATTAATTAATGGGACAGCTAGTCGGTGCGTTGAAACTGAGAAACATGTTCCCACTGACATGTAGTTCTCAATGTTCCCGTTTAACTTCAAACTTTGCAGCTACAAGAAGACAGCATCTCCTACATAATCATTGAAATTCAACACCAAATATTGACCTTTTACACAGTTGCAACTTGCCACCGCATCATAGAAAGAACCAGTAGACTGAGACATGTACGTAACAGTAAGTCCCCAAACTAGTATAAATACCATGCACTGCTTGTGTTATTCAGCAACTGAAACATGAAGAACATGGCTTCGTTAAGCTCCCTAGCTCTGCTACTTGCAGCTTTTGTTCTGTCCCCTCAAGTGCTTGCTAACTATGAGAAGCCCCCAGTAGAAAAACCTCCTGTCTACAAGCCTCCCGTTGAGAAGCCACCTGTGTACAAACCCCCAGTTGAAAAACCACCAGTTTATAAGCCACCAGTAGAAAAACCACCCGTTTACAAGCCACCGGTTGAAAAACCACCCGTTTACAAGCCACCGGTTGAGAAACCACCAGTTTACAAGCCCCCGGTTGAGAAACCACCAGTTTACAAACCCCCAGTTGAGAAACCACCAGTTTACAAGCCACCGTATGGAAAGCCACCTGTGCATGAGTCTCAATATGAGAAACCACCAGTGTACAAGCCCCCTGTTGAGAAGCCACCGGTGTACAAGCCCCCTGTTGAGAAGCCACCGGTGTACAAGCCTCCTGTTGAGAAGCCACCGGTGTACAAGCCCCCAGTTGAGAAACCACCGGTGTACAAGCCTCCGGTGGAGAAACCACCAGTGTACAAGCCACCAGTGGAGAAGCCACCGGTTTACAAGCCCCCAGTTGAGAAGCCACCGGTGTATAAGCCACCATATGGGAAGCCACCTTACCCGAAGTACCCTCCAACTGATAGCACCCGTTTATGATGCATGATAAGAGGTGTACTAAGTATGTGCTAAATAAGAGGCATAGCTATTATTACTATACCATTGCCATGCTCGGATTATAGATTTGCTTACGAATTGTGGAACGGATTACTCTTAGTTTCTTGGTTTCAAGTTGTCTTTTTTACTGTCTCTGGCCAAGATAAGAATATGCATGCACGGGGATGAAATATTTGTGCTTTGTACTCCAGCTTATGAATAGAATATCTTTTAAGCCTTCTGATATTACTTGTCTCGGCTGATTAATTATTAATCCTAAATCACTTTAACGCAATATGGTCAACTTAGAAATGGATCCTACATTCTTGTCGTGCAACGTAGGTGCATGGAATGTTCTGTGAAGCAGAGTCGGAAGAAGAGTGGTTAGTAAAGGTTACAGAGTCAGAAGAGTGGTTAATGAAGGTCAATATAGAAAGGTTACAGATCTGTTTGGTGTTTACTGAAGTGCATGCACCTAAACTAATATAAAGGTAATTATGTTGAAGGAGATTGAACTGAATCAGAAAGTTTTAAGCGTATGTGCTAGAAAGTTCTCCATTTTTACTCTTGAGAGAAAAAAAAATAAGCAAAAAGAATCAGTGTCTAGTAAAATAGAATTAACTCACAAACACAATGTTTCTATAAGGATTTTAAGGGAAAAAAAATGAAATTAGCCCTAAATTAAAATGATTTTTTTATGCAAAAAATAATAAAGTAGTTTTAGCTTATACAGAAATTCATTTCATTTTTCTTCTCTTATATTTCTTTCTGAAAAGATTTAATGAGAAAGTTTATTTTATAAAAAATGTTTTTTAACATATTTTTTTAATTTTCTGACAACGTTTACTATTGATCTATTTTAAATATATTTTTAAAAATAAATTCAAACAAACTAAAAAAATATAATAAAATAGTAACACGTAATTTATTATTAAAAAATTATTAAAAAAATTATTAGCATATCATAGTACTTTATTTTAATAAGGCAGAGAAACACAAGAATAGCGCTGAATCACCCCATTTAGAAGGAGGGAAAATGTGCTGGACCACAAGGTCATGATGCGAAAGGGGCTTCTTTTTGAACCACGTTATTTTCTTCCCGCACCCCTAAATTTTTCATTCCTTTCTATTTTATCCCTCTTAATTATATATATATATATATATATATATAATAATTGAATATGACTTCCGGATCCGGAAGTACACCACACAGGGGGACTGTGGTTGGTTTTTTTCACAACCCATTAAACACCCAGAGGCAAGTTTCTTCCCTAGTTATCACCCTATAAATCATTACCCACACACAACACTATTTTTGAGACGTTAAAATTTAATGTTTTTAAAGACTTATTTATCATATGTTATACAAATATCTTAAAATACAACATAAACTTTCTTAAAATATGATATATTTAGAATTAGTAAAAAACTTTAAAAAAAATATATTTCCATAACTAGAATTCTTTTTCTTTCTTTTTTCCCCCTAACTAAATAACCAGTCCTAGAATATAACATTTCACTAATTTCGTTGAGTGAGCATATATGTATATACTGGACAAAAAATCAACTTGTTTCGATGTTAACTGATTAATTTTGTTAAGCGAGACAATATACTCATTGAGTCAATATTTTTTTCTTGGATAAGTTAACCAATTGTGATTAGAGCTGAAGATAACGTACTGAATTATATTACACTACAGTTAATTATATTTTTAATAAACTAAAAAAGCTAAACTGCTTAATATAATATATAAAGTATACTGTTTAAGAGTTCTGTTTTAAAACTGAACTAATATTAGTTAACGGAACTGAAAATTGTAAGTACACTATTCTGAAATTTGTAAGCACACTATCCACTGCATAATTGTTTTCCCACGGTTGGTTTTTATGCGTTTAGTATTGGATAATTGTTTTCCCACGGTTGGTTGTTATGAGTTTAGTATTGAAAAGTTATGAACTTAAATAATTGTTTACAATATTAACAATATTAATAAAAATTAAGACAGTATAATTTTAATTTGGATTTAAATTATGGTTAATTCATCTAATAAATTCAGTTGGTGGTTAAATTCAAATGTTAAAAGTGCATTGTGCTCCATATTAATTTCTTTTATAATCTTAATTATTCACCAATTTAACAGTGAATAAATTGGACAAAGTAGATATTTTTCTTTAAATACTATTTATTTTATTATTTTAAATATAAAACAATATCTTTAAATATACCATTTTATTATTTTAAATATAAAATAATATCTTTAAATATACCATTTTATTATTTTAAATATAAAATAAATAGAATTTTAAATAATTTTTTCTTCAATTCCACAATTTAAAGTTTGTAATTATATATATTTTATTTACGGCTTTTTGAAATTGACTATGTTTATATTTGAATGCCAGTATATTTATGTTTGAATGCAAAATTTAGTTTAGATATATATTTTAGTTGTCGTTTTTTAATCACAATATGCTTATGTTTGAATGGATAGTATAGTTTATTTATTAGTTAACTGATATAAGTTCAGTATTTTAAAATTGAACAATAAAACAATACAGTTTGGATATTATATTAATTAGTTTAGTTTTTTTTAGTTTATTATAGTACAATTAACTATAGTTTAGTACAATTTAGTTAATTTTGTCCGGTCCTAGTTGTGACTTAGCGAGAAGATTCTAGTAATAAACTCTCATTCTCATTAATTCTTCATTTTCTTATATAATAATCTAAAAAGGACCAACTAACCTAAAACAAAAACAAAAGAAAAGTTTACATTTTCCTATGAGAAGAACACAAATCGTGAACAAATACAAATTTAAGGATAAAAATAAGTATGAATAGTAAGTATTTTCGCACTTATCAAATTTGGGCCTATTAATCAAGATATTCGTTAGCTTTTGAACTATCATGATTAGTTATAAATTAATGTAAATAGGTGGCCAATACAATATTGTACTAATCGAATAGAAATGGACTAAATACATGTTAACTTAGTAGTCTTACTTATATTCGATCAGGAATGATATGACTGAAATATACTTGTTAGTCATATACATTACGTCTTGTATTTCTATCTTTTTATTAATTTTTAGTATTTTAATTGTTTTTATTGTTTTGTATTTTTTTTCAAGTTAAGTTTTTTAATTATCTAGCAAATGTGGGTGTTAGCAATAAGTAATATATGTAATATATACTTTTTATAATTGGTGCTCAAGAACTCAATATAAAAATGAGTTGCTTATTTATTATTTTGGTAAAGGTTCCTTTCAGACATTGTTTTTTCGAAAAAAATAATAATATTTACATGTAAAATGGTGATTTTGCACCAATGACACTATAATTTGCTACTTGCGGGGTTAGAAAAAAAAAGGTATAAAGTTATTGGAAGATTTATATAGATTCCAAATAAAGTTAGGTCACTGTAGTTGTTGTTTATTTATTTATGGTGCACACTTTCCCGCTTTCAATCTCGTGTGTGGACTTTTCTAGCAAAATAGTTGAAAACAATGAAATTTGCTAACCATCTTTAACAGCAAATCAAACCAAGTGACACTATTCACTGGATACTAATTTCACTATAGCCAGCACAATATATTTTAGTTCTATTTAGATACATTCAATAGTTTAAGATAGGTTACTTTAAATACATCATTTTCTCTTCAATATTTTTAGATATCTTTATTTTAACTGATGTTAGTAGTTGCTTTTCATTCAATTCCTTTCTCATAGCAATTCCGTGGTAGGTGTATTTCTTGCAGAAAAAACAAAAAAGAAGAGCAATGTACTGCACTCATGTTTTTTATAATACACGAATCTTACTTTTTATCAATCAAACATACTTTTTACCAATCAAACATAGCAAATGATACCAAATCATTCAGTTTCTCCGGTGGAGTCACTTTTTTCTTGGATAAAGCAACAGAGAAGCAAAACTGAAACAGGCTACTACTAAATTATTTGGAGTGCTTTTGCATCGCACTAGGAACTAAACCTACAATTATAACTCCTTTCAACGGAAGTAGCATCTCGTGTATTGGAAAATGAAAAAAATAGTGGAAAAGATAGTTGTTCCATTTCAATTTCCAACTTGACAACTACAAAAAGACAAAAAAAGCAACACATTTACTGAAAATCCACACCAAATATTGACCCTACAGAGAGGTATCTATTTAGTGCGTCATAAAATAACTAAAAGACTGAAACATGTGTATGTAATAGTGAGACCCCTAACAAGTATAAATACCATGCAGTGGTTCTGTCATTCAGCAACTAAAACATGAACAACATGGTTTCCTTAAACTCCCTGGTTCTGCTCCTTGCAGCTCTTGTTCTGTCCCCTCAAGTGCTTGCTAACTATGAAAAACCTTACAAGCCTCCAGTTCAAAAGCCACCTGTGCACAAGCCCCCAGTAGAAAAACCACCAGTTTACAAGCCACCAGTAGAAAAACCACCGGTCTATAAGCCACCGGTTCACAAGCCACCGGTTCACAAACCCCCAGTTGAGGAGGAAAAACCAGTTTACAAAAGCCCAGTTCAGAAACCGCCAGTGCACAAGCCACCGTATGGGAAGCCACCAGTGCTTGAGTCACAATACGAGAAACCACCTGTTTATAAGTCCCCTCCAGTTTACAAACCACCAGTTTACAAGCCACCGGTTCACAAGCCACCTGTTGAGCAACCACCGGTTCACAAGCCACCATATGGAAAACCACCCGTGCATGAGTCTCAATATAAACCTCCTCTTCATAAGTCCCCACCAGTTCACAACCCACCACACCCTAAGTACCCTCCTGCTTCCAACTGAGGCACCCACCTGTGACGTTCAGAATGCTGTTTTAACTATATGCAGAAAATAAGAGGTGTTACCGCTACCATTGTCATGTTACAGTTTAGTTTACATATTCTCGCAAGGATTACTCGTAGTTCTTCTTTTCAAGCATTTCTTTGCCATGTTATGGCCAAGGTAATAGTATCATGGATGCATAATCTAGAACCGAGAATCACTGCTTTGTACTCCAGACTATGGATTATAGAACTTTATATTATTAATCATATCGTGATTCCTTCCTTATAACACTCTATCATAATATGTTCGGGATAAGTCGAAAGGTGCGTTTGAAAGAGTTTATTTGGACTTATGTCACTTACACTTCTATCAGTGTTTGAAAGAATTTATAAAAATATAATTTCTCTGTAGTTGTTTTGAAACTGTTTAGACAGATTATTTTTATTTATTAAAAAAATATTTAATTAAAAAGTGACACCAAAACTAATTAGTTTCCCTTAAATAGCGATATATATATATAATGCGGTAAAAACTAAGAAAAGTGAAACTATATAAGAAGTTTTATTTTTCCTTTTAATTTTATACTTGTATAAAATGTGGAAGAAATTCATGGGAATATAATCTTATTTAATAAGTAGTTTATTACGCCATGGAATTTATTGCCTGCGGGCAGATGGAAACAGATATGTAGTCAATAGGGTCATTATTTGGTATTTATTTAAGCAACGTGCACCTAAACTAACGTCAATTTGGTCGCTTGTGATATATATCAATTACAAATGGATTTTAATACATAAAAAAAACTTCGTCATATTCTGAATAGACGTTAATGATTTATAGTTATTGGATTTCAGTATTTAACAACAAAGGCTAAGATGTTTATGTGCCATTAAGTATTTCAGTTCATAGCTGACGAAAGATATCTTAAAATTGTTAGTTAGGAGATTATTTATTCATGAATTTAAGCTAATTAAAAACGTCTGTTTAATTTTATAAAATCAATTTGTAATATAAATTAATCACGTATATAGTTAATATGTGACTTTCATGATTATATATATATATATATATATATATATATATATATATATATATATATATATATAAATTGTGAGTTGTTTTGAAGACTAGTATATAGTTATAACTTTGATTTGATATCTTAAAGAATCCAGTATTGGTGAGCAACCACCATGTGTGAAGAAGTAGCAGAGGCACCACCCACCAAGCAATTCGAGACAGAGTGAGTAGACAGTATTATTCAGTGTTTCTGTGTTTGTTTCCTATGGTGCTATTGGTCCCTGTTTTATTAATGTCTCTATATCATGCTTCATAATTGCTTTCTCAAAACATACTTAAATGCCTATACGTAACCATACACATATCATCAGATTGTTTTTCCATAAAATATGAACCAAGAGAGTTTCGATACTTTCATTTTATAACTTATAGATTCGATTGTCAGATAAGTAAAATTTGATTGAGGATTTTTTTTTAAGAACTTTAATGATATTCAAACAATCCCATTTTAGGTTAAGATATTAATTATTTGTCCCATTCTCTTTTCTTCGTTTTCTTATAAATATTAGCATTTAGTCTGTATTAAATTTGTATATTCAAAATTCTTATATTTTTTATTAAAACTTTTCATTTAATTTTTTCATTAACTGAATGACCTGCTTCTTATATTCTTTTTAATGTATGAATTAATTGTCTCTATGTATTAAGAAATGTAAAGTTTCATTATTAATATAAAAATGATATTATAATTAATGTAAAATAACGAGTAATTTTTATTACTTTCATTCAAAACGTATTCAATAACAAGGTTGTCATAGTTGTCAATGCACGGTGTCACATCAAGAAGTTTATCCCATATTTGTTATCTACACATTTTTAATGAACATTAAAAAACATTTTTCGTTTTACATCAATTTCAATCTATTTTAATATGAATCATAAAACTTGATATTATTTAAAGTGTAATAATAAGTAAACAAAATATTAAAAATATATATATAATCATGTCACATAATTAATTAAAAAGTTAAACAACAAATGCTCAATTGAAATACAAAAATTTTAAAGTCCTCACCACATATAGCATGCCTTTACATAGGAGTATCTTAGATGTATTTATTATTGTATTTGATAATTGTTGTTTCTTAAAGAAACTAGCTCCATGTGACCCTAAGAATGTAAGGACGTATTTTAAAAGGTCCTTCAAAAATAGAAACATAAAAAAAGTAATAAGAAACGTAAAGAACACGATTAACGAAGAAAATATAAACCACACACGATATAAAGAAAGACAATAAATTTTAAGTACTCTTTATGCGAATCTTAGAATCTAATTGAAAGACTTTAGCCATAAAAATCATTACAAATATCAATTTATACAGTATAATTTTTATCAAATGTTAACCTGTCAATATATTTATATAAAAGACGTAAATTTTTGTTGATTTGATTATAATTTCATACTATCATAATTATACATATCAAATTTGTTAAAATTGAATAAGTAAAATAATAATTTATGTATTACTTGCTTTGACTTACTTCAATTCTATTATTACAATAAGTTATTAATAGATCCTATTATAAATGACAAATTGTGAGTTGATTAATTAAACTTTCATTAAATTGTACAATGAATAATGCATATCCATCAATATATGGTATGGTGTACATCTTTTTTTTGGACTCAGTCATCCATATTTGTATATATATGATTATTTGAATTTAACTTTGTACAACAAGATTTAAAAAATAAAGTTAAATATATATAACAATAAAATCCATACATGGATGTCAGACTTTGGTCCACCCACTAGTACAAAAATTGTGTATAACGTGAAATAATTTGGGCTTTTAACGGTGAATTCGCGAACGACATTATATCAGGAGACGTTAAATTGACGTCGAATTTAAAAAATTCAACGTTAAATTAACGTCGAATTTTGTCAATATACGATGTTAATCAATTTTTTTTAATTAATTGTGATAATTTTTTACAACTCTACGACACCTCTGAAAAACAGAAAAAACAACAAATTTTAGTTTTTGGTATTTTATAAAGCATGAACTATGAACATGTAGTGTAGTATCAAACAAGCAACAATAATCAACAACAAACAAATTCAATCAAACAACAACAACAAACAAGTTCAACCAAACAACAAAAACAAACAAGTTCAACAAAAAACAACAAACAAGTTCTTCAAAACAAAAACGGAAACTAACCTTAAATAGGTGGGTTCGTCGGAATAAAGTGTCGTCACCAGTGAAGAAGAAAGCAGAATGTGCCTATGAAGAACAAAAGCACTAAAATAATCAGTCAAAACAAACGAAAATCATACATAAAGTAGTTAATTAACATGCATTTGTATCAAATGAAAGAAAGATTACATGGGTCGTCAAACTTCGTTCGAGAAAAGTTTGAGAAGAGAAAAGGGTCTCGCGCACTAAGATAAAGTGAATGAATTTTCAATCTCTCACTCAATTTTTTATTGAATTCACTAACCTTTTGACATCTAATGTTGGGGCATTCAACATTTTATATCATTTTACGTCGAATTATAATTCTAAACGATGTTTAATAATTGCATTTATTTACAAAAGTACCATCGGTCATTTTTAGCGTTGACTATTCATTGGTTGGACGTTGAACGCATGACGTTATACACTATTTTTGCACTAGTGACCATGAATATATTCACGTATCTATAACAATAAAGTTAAGTATATATATATAACAATTTGAATATTTAAAAAGGGGAGACAATGAAAAATCTTACATGCACCCTAGTTGTAGGATTAAATGTTTAACATTCTTTCTCCAACAATGACCTCTCATGCATCATTTAGAGTAATATACAATAGCACATGACACTTGAGGCTAAATATTCTTAAATCTCACTCCAACTTTACAGGTTCTATTTTCAACCTGTATAATTTTGTTATCAGCTTTGCTAAAGGATCATCTCATTTTTTCTTCACCAACACTGCGTATCATGTCTTCTAAATGGTCACTCATCCATTCGTCCACATAATATGTTCCCCTTGAAGTTGTAGGTTTGTAGTACTTCTCCATGCCAACTCCAAATTGTATCACTCTTCATTATACCATAATGAATAAATTACTACATTACAATGTGTATCAAAACCAAAAAACTAACCTTGATAGAAGGGAGTTGTTGGCAGCAATGGAAAGTGAAGAAATTCCTGACACTGTTGTTTGTTGTGGTTGACCTTTAATGGAGCATGAAAACACGAAATCAAACCATAAACATAAACAAAATCATATCCTCAACTTGTAGAAACATATACATTTATGCTAAATAACCTAAAACTAACCTTTATTCTTCCTTGCACTCGTGAACAAAGTAGTTGGTTCACTTAGGGTGATGGAGTTTGAACTCGTGTAAAGCACGTCAATACTAAACGAAAAACGATATAAATCAATCAAAACTAATGAAACAACCCAACAAAGACAAGAGAAACACTCTCATAAGAGGTAAGTGACAAAAAACTAACATTTGTTCTTCGTCTCACTTGTCTTCAAGAATGCAAGTTCAAGCAGAAATAGAAGCACAAAGAAATAATATGCATGGATTTTTTTTTTTACAATTTTTGACAGATGTGACGTTGAAATGCAAAGAATTCCGACATCTTATAAGTATTTGACGTCAGAATCTAAGGTATCAAACATCTTATGTTAGTTAACTTTTACAGCTGTCTACCAAACATTTTAATGAATTCATCAAATTTGAAGGACATATAACATCTAAAGAGTGAAACTCCAATGTTAATTGACGTCAGAATTTCACTTTTGAGATGTCTAATCGGTGTTTTGACCGCCTAAGGGTCAGTTATGTAGAGGTTGAAATGATTCATGTAACTATATAACATCTAAAATGTTAGTTTCCAACATGTGGCATTCCAATGTCAAATAAGCATATAACGTCACAATAAAGTGATTTTTGACATCAAATTTGAACATTTATTTACAACAAAATCATCAATTATTTTTAACATTGACTTTTCTTATTCTAACATTAGGTGAAAAAGCCTATTTTTTACTAGTGATTGTATTTATATATTACAATTTAATCGGTTAAAACTCTCGTAATAATATATATATTACAATTTAATCATGTTAACGGTTAGAAACATCACTTTAATATTTGTGATACGAAGTAAAGACAAATACCATTTTATTTTGTATATAGGTGACTTCATAGCTCACCTTAAAATATTGTATGGTTTAATTAATTTAATTTAAAAGTTCAAGTCTAAGTAATTCATGTATATATATATATAGATAGATAGATACACTTAAAATCCATAAGAAAAATAAAATTATTAAAATTCCATTGAAAAGGGTGAACATACTAAGCGATTGTAAAGAAGAATACAGAAGCAACTCTAAGTTGTTTGATGTATATTGGATATTTGAAGTGGAAGACAAAGCAAGTCCTGAGTCCTTGGAGCCGTTAATCCTGGCCTCTCATTCATATCAATCGCTCTACCATCAGCCTTCAATCCTTTGGAATCCATCACCTCAAAATCAAAACACTGAATGATAGCTCCAAGCAATGCTGGCACCTCTTGCATCACTAAAGATACCCCAGGACACATTCTTCTTCCACAACCGAAAGGAAGAAGTTCAAAATGTTTACCAATTACATCCATCACCCCATTCGAATCTCCTCCTTCACCCACCGTCATGAACCGTTCCGGACGAAACTCTAATGGCTTCTCCCAATATTTTGGATTCCTTCCCATTGACCAAACATTCACAAACAGTAGTGTGTTCTTTGGGATCACATAATTCTCAATCTTACACTCTGCAACACATATTCTGTTAACCATAGGCACTGCTGGGTGCAGACGAAATGTTTCCTTAACAATGGCTTGTAGGTAAGGTAGATTTTCAAAATCACATTCTTCAACAACTTTGTTTTTTCCCACCACACTCTCCATCTCTTTTCGAGCTTTTTCTACCACCAAAGGGTTCTTCATCAGCTCCACCAATGCCCATTCTGTTGAGATGGCTGTGGTATCAGTCCCTGCTGTCAGAAAATCCTACCAAACATATTTCACCAATATACGTCAGAAATCATACTGTTCCTCTCCTAGGTAGTTTTGTATCTACAACAATTGATAAAACGTGAGAGATAAAGAAAGATATGTCAAATAAATAAGTGAAATTATTGAAGAAAAATGCATTAAGATTGTAAAAAAAAAAAAAACAAAAAATTAGGGTAAAGAAAGCAAGGGTTTACCACAATGAGGGCTTTAACGTGAACCCTGTTAATTTTGACTTGGCAGTTTTCATCCTCAACACAATCAAGTAAAACATCAAGAAAGTCTCTCACGTCACAATCTCCATTTTCAACCCTTTTTCTTCTTCTTCTCATTTCCTCTCGTTTGCAAATAATCCTTTCCACCATAGCATCCAACCTCACAAACAGATCCTCTATCCTCTTCCCAAAACCCTGAAGGTCCAATTTCCCCAACAACCAAACGAAATCCGAAACATTAAACTCCCCGAAGATCTTTGTCACTCCACGCACCACATCACTGCCTCCTCTGCTTCACCCAACATCATCCTCGAAATAACGTTATTCGTCAACCTAAGCAACTCCTCCGTCACATTAACGGCTTCACCAGCCTTGGCTTTCAGGGCCAGAACCCTCAGAAAGCCACGTGTCTCTTGCTGGCGCAGGTGGCGGAAGTTGTTGATGCTGCGTGAGCCCAGAAGCTCGTTCATGCTGAGCTTCTTGATGAACCTCCAGTACTCACCGTAGCGCGCGAAAGCCAGAGAGGAATCGTAGGTGAGGCGTTTGACGGCGATGGTTTGCATGCGGTTGATGAATGCGTGTTGGTAGGTGTGGAGGAGGAGTTTGGCGTAGTGGGGAGAAGAAACAATGATACAGGGAAGGGAAGCGAAGTGAAGAGAGAAAAAGGGTCCGTGTTGGAGGGCGAGGGTGTGGAGGGATTGGTGGAGGAGAGGACCCAACAGGTGCATGTGCCCTATTATTGGGAGGCGCCACCGTGGAGAGGGAGGGAGGAGGTGGTGGTTGAAATAAATGGCGAGTAAGAAGTAAAGTAGAGGTGCTGAAAGGAAGAAAGAGAGAAAGAGGAGTTGAGGTTCCATTTCTGAGGCTTTCTTAAGACAAAAAAGAAGGGCCTTGCATGCATGGGATGAATCTAGAGTGTTTATATAGGAAAACTTTTCAAGTTGGCGCAAATTTTTTTACGGAAATTTCTTAAATGGGTGGATTTTATAAATATTATCAATATGAGTAATATGAGTAAGTAGTATCTTATGAGAAAATAAAATCAAATACAGAACGAAAACAAGAAACCAGATTGATTAATTAGTTATTTCCAATATTAATTCTTTAGGTATGTTTCCATTTTTTATTCTAAAAATATTATTAAGTATTTTATTTTATAAGGCTTTATTACTAATTCTTCATTTTATTCATAAATCTAACAATATAATTGGTATCAGGTTAGTTTATCATTAATTACAAGAAATTTTGTTTATAAAATTTGTGGTTTAATTAATTTTTATTTAATTATTTTTAAAAGATAATAAAATTTAAAGCAACTAAAAAAAGTTAAATTTGAAAAAAAATACTTCATGAAAGGTAAAATTAAATAAAAATATGAACATAAAAAAATCCCCTTATACATCAGTATTCAAAAGTATTGTGCAATATGTCAGAGTAAAGTTGCAATTAAGACCAAAATATTGCAATATTTTATTACCTATATAAAACAAAATATCACTATAAATTTCTATATATGATACAAGATTACATTAGACCAATTAGACTAATTTGATGTAAGAATTAAATAAAGCATCCCGGAAGAAGACAAAATCCTATCGGTGGTTCACTTATCCATTCATGAATCTTGAATTGGAAGAAACGTCCGTATGTAGGATGAAAAAATTTCAAAGCCACATATCTCAATTCATTATTAATTACTCATAATATATTAGAATGAATTTTTTTCAAGATATTTTTAATTTTAAATCTTTTTATACACAAATAGTTTTCAATCTTAAGAAAAATTATGTGCATGAGTATATTAAAATAACATTTGTATTTGTTACAGTTTAGAAACAATATAATAGGAAGTTCAAATATTCTTCGAGATCACATATAATCCACCGAAAACAAATTCAACTATACTAGATATTAATATTATTGAAAAGTAACTTTAAATTTAACTCTATTAAAATATACCAAGATTATAATATATAAATAATAAATCTTATTTTATTAAACTTATGCTGTGAAATTAAGTTAAGATTAAATTTTATTTTTTTTAATAAATTCAATTTCAAGATAAAGTAAAAGTTATACATTTTGGATTCTCTGTTTTTTCTATGTTGTTCCTCTATGTTGTGTCTTCAAAATAACGATGGACACTAATTTTGGTTTTAAAACATATTGAATTTCTTTTTAAAATATTAACATAAGTGTAACGCTAAACATAATATATAACACTAAAAACCATTAGAGAATCTCAATTGTATCTATATATTACAATTTAATCATGTTAAAGGGGATGGACGCGCCCAAACACAATTATCTTAGTGTAGTATTTCTTTTATTTTTAGTAAAGTATGTGTAAAAAGTGTTAGGTATGTGATAGATAGGAGGGACTTTTAGTCCTATATATAGACATATCAACATCTCTTGTAAGGCACTTTTGAGAATATTGAATTGCATTTATGTAGAGATGACTCCAGAACCAATTCACCCTTGGGCCATACTGGAAGAACCCAAGACTAGGACCTCCTGATACTACTCACGACATGGTTCAATCCTCTCTACTTGAGAATGATTGACCATTGTAGTTTCAGGATAACACACAAGACTGAGATTACATGCAAATCATTCTAAAACACACCAAGGGCACCACCATGGATCTTCTCCTTGAAGATCATGGAATTATGTCCAATAACATAGAGCACCACCATGTAACCTCCCTTTGAGATCCATGGAATTACGTTCACTAACATAGGGCACCACCATTTAACCTCCTTTGAGATCCATGGAATTACGTCCATCAACCATACTGTCACTTTGAAACTTAACTCAAGACATGAACAACCAAATACCATAATATTATCACATTGAATCCAAACATATAACCTCACTGATCATACAATATCATAGATACTTTTACACCATTCTAATAATCAAAACATAGTTCAAGGTTATCATAAAATAGGAATAAAAAGAATAAAAACAGATTCTAGGCAAGTCGCTCAGCGCACCAAACTCGTTGTGTGAATAACAAAAACAATGGGTTTTACTCACTCACATTCGCTCAACGCACCAAGTCTGTGCGCTATGCTAAACTGAAAATTCTGCTACACACTATCAGACCCTAAACCCTCGCATAACACCCCAAATTCGCTATACGAATTAAACTAGCATTTTCAAGGCAACCACCAGTCGCACAGCGCCCAGATTTGCTATGCGAATCACCAAACAGAGAGGAACCCTCTCTAGCCATTCGCACAACGCACCAACTCGTTGTGTGAATGCCCTGACAAAGAGCATCTCGCTAGGGTGACTCGTTGTGCGAAACAATTCGCTCAGCGAGTCTGCATAATCTGCAGAACGCAAATTCTGCAGAATTATGCAACTCACACACTCTTTACCATTTCTAGTCATTTTCCCCAACTTCTAACACCCCTAATTCGTGTTTTATACTTAATTAAACTTGTCTAATTGATCCTAAACATTCCTACTACATTTCTAAAGGGATTACTACTCAACTTTTACTCCTCAACATCAATTTCCACAACTTGAAGATCCCAAACCCAAATCTAACTCTTTGTACCTATTTGGACCACTTTGGTGACTCAAACAAGTCACAATGCAGAACAATTATGTGCGAATGCCCTGACAGAGAGCATCTCGCTAGGGTGACTCGTTGTGCGAAACAATTAGCTCAGCGAGTCTGCATAATCTGCAGAACGCAAATTCTGCAAAATTATGCAACTCACACACTCTTTACCATTTCTAGTCATTTTCCCCAACTTCTAACACCCCTAATTCGTGTTTTATACTTAATTAAACTTGTCTAATTGATCCTAAACGTTCCTACTACATTTCTAAAGGGATTACTACTCAACTTTTACTCCTCAACATCAATTTCCACAACTTGAAGATCCCAAACACAAATCTAACTCTTTGTACCTATTTGGACCACTTTGGTGACTCAAACAAGTCACAATGCATTGGTTAAGTATGCCCCCAACAACCCAAAAATACTCTAGACCTCTAATGCTTAAAATCATTATCTCACTTCCTCTCAAAATGAACTAAACCTTAACAGAACACCAAGTTTTCTACCTATTCATTGTTACAATAGATCTCTCACCCCAAACACTTTCAACATGATTATTACAGAAATTAGATACATCCAAAACAGTTTACAATCATCACACTCCAGTTTCACAATCATACATTCCAGCACATGGAACTAAATATTCCTCAATCAAAGCACAACGCCAACAACATAGCAGTGCAAAAATCAATATACATACATCACATGCAACCCATTAAAAACGTATTCTAGCTCCCCTTACCTTAAGGTTTCATAGCTAAGCTCACAACTTCATTCAACAGTGCCTGACTCAGCAAGAACTCAACCAAACCCTACAAACCACCCAATGGGTGATAGAACAGCTCTTTAGAGCTAAGTTTTGACAAGAAATTGAAGGAAAAGATTTCTAGTTACATGAAATCAGTAGAATAGCATGCCCTAGGTTCCAAAACAGAGGAGGAAAAGGAAGAACTACTTACCGGTCCGAATGAAAGAAGTAATCGGTTCAAAATAAAGCCCTCTACGCTATGGACGCTTGGGCACCACCTAAACGAACATGCACTCAGTCAGTGAGTGTGGAGGTTAGAGAGAAGGAGGAGAACTTAGAAGAACTTGAGATTTTAGAGATATAGTGGAAGTAGCTAATGAACCAGATTGTTTAGAAATCTATTTTATACTAAAATAAAAATATGGTTCTATTAGTCTAATACAGTAACCCATTCTTTTAAATCCCAAATTTTGGGTTCTCACAGTTTTTTTTTTAATTCAGTCAGGATGTGCATCCATCTATTTGTTTTATTTGTGCTGTATATTTGTAAAAATCCATTAATATTATTTGTCATTCGTTTTTGCAAAAATACGTTAATAAAAAGAACTTGTATTTTTTCACTTTCATAAAATTTAAAATTGAAATTAAACTTCGGTTTTCATCTTGGTTCATTGCAACCATTAAATAAAAAAACTTTTCCTCATAACCTTCAATAATTTTAAATTCACCTCCACAGGGTTGTTAATATTCAAACACCACATAAATGGTGTCATCCTAATCCGATCCACATGACACTGTCGGAGAAAACGATTCATTTCAATAATAATAGATGAATCCATCGAGATAAGAAGTCGCCACTACAAAAAAAATCATAAAAATTTATTACTAAATACAATCCGTAAGATAATTAAATAATATATAAACAAAAAATTTAAATTTTTTCTTACACTTGCTTTTTTCCCTTCCATTGCAACGGCCCTAACAAGACAACATTCCACACTCAATTATATCATTCAACTTAATGAAAACCAAAAACACAGAGTAAAACACAATGTCAGGGCTCGCCCATTTTTACTTACACCAAAATGTAAGGGTTTCTCTTTGGATGACAGACCCACACAAAGGATGGAAGGGTTGAACGCTGTGGGTAGGGTAAAGATGGAACACACAGCCACAGAGATCCTCCAAGGTTTCAACGCACGTTTTGAAGAAGGAGGAGAGAACGAAACCGAGGATGGAAGCTTCGAAGACGGAAAGAGAACGAAGGCTTGAACGAACGAGAAGAAGGACGACACAGCGAGAGAGAAGACGGACGAGAGAGAAGGCTTGAACGAAGGAGAAGAAGCAAGGCTTGAACGAACGTCTTTCGCACCCTAAACCGCCAAGTCCCAAATCTTAAAAATTTAATCTAGAAAACCCAAAATACCCCTCGCCCCGGTTCCCTTTCTCTGGTTTATTTTCAATTCACTGAGCCAATGCACAGCTGCCACGTGGCCGTTGTCAAAACTGTATCAAACTTTTGTTGTCCAAATAACATTTTCCTTATTCTTTACACTACATTCCAACTTTTGACTCCATTAACACTATTT